AAATTCAATGGTTGCCCAATTTTTGTTCAACTTTTGCAAAGTTGTTCCTTTGTGCTTATTCCGCAGAAAGATTCCTGAACCATTTGCCAGTGGCCAATCTGTGTTCAATCCTCTTTTTGCCCAGCTGCTGTTTGTTCTTGCGAGCGCCCGTGCTTTACAGATGGCTCGTCTTGCCTGTGAGACACAAGGTGAGCCGACTGGCCTGAGCTTAAGTCAATGCCAGACCTTGGCCACGGGTGAATTTCAGGTACAGTCCAAAGAATCTTTGCCCAAAGATTCCCTCGCAGTTCTGTTTCCTTTGATGACCTTGCCAGACAGCCTGATCCTCACCTATGGGTCCCTCCAGCGGGCCACACTGCCGGAGGTTGGCCCGGTGGTGCTGATGCTCGGAAAGTCGTCGTCTACTGAGAAGCAACACGGGACCCTAGTCTCAATGATTGTGCTTTGATTTGGGAGATGTCAGTGCATCAGGTGTCAGCTTTGTTCTTTTCAAGCCATCAATCTGCTTTGTGTGCTAGGATCCTCTTCCAGGCTGCTTTCATTCGAGCGGAAGAGATGGCCGCTAAAGCCATTTTCAAGGACCAATTCGTGACGGACGGTTTAGAGCACTCCCAGCACACGTCCATCATCTACGGGACAGGTTTCAACCTCGAATGTAGCAGCATCGCCTGGACAGCCGACAACGCAAAAACAAAGCATTGCGAATCCAACTTCCAGGAGGAAAACTTGGAAGGGATATTTGGTTGATAATCCATACTTAGTGAAAATTTTGAGCCGCGTTTTTATTGTTTGTTGGATGTGAGTGGCGGCCAGTGTCTGTCAATGATTCTCATGCAAATTCAGCTGAGGATGGTTGATGGAAAGCTGGTGATACGGCGGGTCCTTATCATGAAAGTTTGCCCTGAGAAATTTGCCTTGCTGGACCACGCCTGCAGCGAACAGCTTGAGGACGCCTTTCAACCCCCCTGAGGCAGACACAGTCTGTTGAAGCACGAAGCCTCCCAGGCATTGCGACCAATTCTCCGCCAGGGCATGACCAAATGAGCCTTACGCTGCAGCCATCAGCCATGCGCCGGTAGCAGTGCATGCGCACGGGAAACCTAATGCACGTGTGTTGTACACTTTGCACAATAATGACACAAAATGATTCTTGACTTTATTTTCCTCTCTGGCTCCTCAGGAAAAAACGTTGCTGTGTGAGTTGCTTAAAGTAGCACGGTTAGTTCAAGTCTGAGATAGCCCCTTAGCTATGGCTTCCAGTAGCAGCCAAACTGTGTTGCGCACAGGCGGGGTCAACTGCTTCCGTGACTGCATTGTTTCCACATATAGTCTCTCTGTTGTGCGTGGCCAAATGCCAAGAACAACAGCAGGTAATAAGTTTTTTGTTGCTAGGAAAAAATCAAAATATTCAAATATGAGCAAGCAAAGAGCATGCGCTTTCTTAAAACAAATAATGTCGCTCACGGTTTCACGATTTAAAACGAAGGAATATCGAAAAAGACAAATGCCTTAAGGCTTACACAAACCTGCAAGTCTAGTAGCTAGAAATCGGTCCATGCAGCACAGCGATACGAATTAACAAACGAAATCAAATTGGGGACGCAGGGTTAGTAGCTTCGAATTCGAGCTCACAAATCATTGCTGCACAGGTGGCTTCAATTTGAAGACTGCTCGACGCAGGAAATGCGATTTGGACCCAGACCCAACAGTTGACAGAATCAAGGAAGCACAAAACGCACAGACAGCAGAAGAGCTGCACAGTGCTATGTGGCCTACCGACTTGAACGACAAGATGCAAACAGAGGATGAAATCTACAAAGCAATCCAGAACAAACTCGACCAACTGGTCGACGGAGACCAGTCGCACAGAGACATGTCGCTGTGCCCAAACTTCACTCTGAGGTTGCTCATGCCGAAGCAAATGCTGTCTGCAGTGCAGGCATGGGGATCAAAAGAATAATAAGGCACCCAAAAATAAATATTTAAAGGCATCAACAAAAAGATAATCCTTCCCACGCAAATAATAAATAGACACCTCAGGTAGTTTTTATTTTTAGGGGGGTCTTTATCATGTTATACTTATATGGCGGTTTGGGTTGGTGGTTTGGAAGTCTGGGAAATCAGAGTTATGTGCGAAATAGATTGAAAAAGGAATTTGTCGTGGAACCTCCACGGAACCTGCATCAGTCAGAGTGCATGATAAAACCAACAAGTGCAGATAGAGGCACCACCTCCACTTGTTGGTTTTATCTTGCACTCTGGCTGATGCAGGTTCCATGAAGGTTTCATGGAGGTTCCATGCAGGTTCCATGCAGGTTCCAGGGAGTTGTCATGGAGGTTACACACCAGTAACCTAAATCAGCAAACCCAGCATGTAACCAACATGAAACCTGCATGGAAACTGCATGGAAACTCCATGAAACCTGCATCAGTCAGAGCACAGGATAGGACCACACGGTTTCAAGAAACTGTCTTTTCCCCCCGTTTCAAAAATAAATAGACAATTACAGAAAAATGAACTAGAATTCAATCATCAAGTAAACAATCACTTGGAATTATTGGACATTAAATAAAATATATTTTCCGAGATACAAGATGCACATCAATTCAAAAGCAAACCTAATCTGGTAGCAATCGTTGTTGTTTTAAATTTGTTTTCTTTATTTTCAAATATTTTCAACAATTTCATTGTTTACAGGGTTTGTTTGTTTTTTTATTTTGTCTAAGTTCACAAAACCATCAATTCCCAGACTTCCAAGCCACCAACCCAAATCACCACGCAAGCACAAGTTGACTTTATTATTAGGGAGCCCTAATAAAAAATTGAAACCCTTAATCATAAAATAAATCGCTATCACACTCAATTCGATTTCCTTATATAACGCGATTAAAACTTTTCCAAAAATTGCATTTCGAAGCGGGCCCTCTTAATAAATTGAAACCCTTAATACAAACAAATGTTTCAATTTCAAAATCAATTCAATTTCCTCATATAACGTTAATCAACATCTTGCCAAAAAAAATCGAGCAGGCCCTATTAGTAAATTGAAACCCTTAAAACCACTAGTTGTTTCGTTTTCACAATCAATTCAATTTCCTTCTAAAACGCATTTAAATTATTGCCGAAAAATGGATATCGAAGCAGACCCTTTTAATACATTGAAACCCTTCATTAAAAATGTTTTGATTTCAGAATCAAATCAATTTCCTTATATTACGCAATTAACTTTTTTGCCAAAAAATAAATGTCGAGGCGAACCCTTTTAATAAATTGCAACTTTTATTTTTTTTACCATTTCAAGATCAATTTAATTTCCAAAATTTTGCTGCCTTAAATGTTTGTGAGCCCGATCCTCACTGTCTTTTTTCTTGGATGCCTTTTACATTTTTTTGAATCCCTGACCCTGTAGCGCAGGCCGTCTCAGAGAAAAACGGGTGGCATGCGGAGTCCATGATGCTCTGCGTCATGAACCTTAACATGTTTCAGCCATACCATTTCATGATATGTTTTGGTGAGCCCGAAGGTCCCGCTGGACTAGATAGAAGTAGAAAAAATGCAAGACCGGAGCAAGTGAAAGCACTGGCTGATCCTACACCATATGAGGTAGAGGAACATGAAAGCACGGGAGACGTGCAGTACAGAAAACTGTGCCGCTACTGTGTCCAGGCAGGGGCATTGGCCAGCAACGCCATGGCGAAAGACAAATGCGCTCCGTAGCGCCGAGGATGTAAGCCAATAGGTTTGCACACGCCATGACAGCAAAAAACAAAAGAACAAGTTGACTGATTCATGTGAAGAGTTTGCCCAGGTCCAACCTGATGTGGCTGGAGCACCAGGCAACACGATTGAGCCCAGAGCCGCGGCCTGATGGCAAGACGTTCTTGGAGTCTGATCCACCCGAGCTGCCCGAGCTCGCATCTCCACCGAAGTCCAAAAAAGGCAAGCGTGCGCGAGCATCATCGCCACGCAGTGCACGAGCATCATCGCCACGCAGTGTGCCAAGAGACACTCAAAATGTCAGCCAAGCAGAGGCACAGGTGTTGCATCATCTAGTTACCCCCGATGTCATACAAGCCTTAGATGCAGTGGTTGCACGGGCGGACGCTTCTGGCCAACTTGAGAGCCTCACCTTTCGCGAGTTGCGCAACCAAATTGAACATGAGCTTGACATGGAGAAAGATGCTTTGCATGAAGCCAAGAATTGCGTGAAGCAGTTGATCGAAGAGAGGCTCATGGGCATGGGAACACAACCTCAAGCTTCTCAAGCACCAGACCCCGAGAATCCAAGAGAGCATCCATCTTCCCAGACAGTGGGCAGCCCAGTTTCTGCGCCACATGCTACTGAGGATGCAACGCTGGCGCAGGCTCATCCAAAGTTTTCGAATCTTTCCAAGTCTATATTTCCCGCATGATGAAAAACAACAAGCACACCTTTAATAACTCCAAGAACCAGGGTCGAACCTTTAAATAATAATGATATTGGCATATTGGTTTCCTGTCTCCCTCTATAGAGAACCTGTGCCATAAAGCCTCCCCTGTTCAGGTGCTCATTGTGGAGCAAGTTGACAAGGTATTTTTGTTCTCTCCGAACATTCCCGTTCTGTTTGGAGGAGAAGCATCCTCACGAAAATCATCTTTGAGCCGGTACACGAAAGAACTCGTGACAGGATCTCGATGGGCACCGGAATGGCTCAAAGAAGTCTTTTTGACAGAAGCTACACTCAAAGGCATCAGAGGTTCCATCAAGAAATATGGCAGAGTCTCTGCCACGGGAGACGAGCTTGCCTGTATGATGGCCACTCCGTGGAGTGACATGGCCTCCGGAGTTCACTTTCTATCCCGAGCAAAGATGAACACCTTTACCCAGTGTGAGCCGGATTCAGTGTTAACCGGAAGCGGCGGAGAGCATTTGATTGACTATGCCATGCAGCTGAAAGCATTTGGACAGATAGAAGTGCTGGAATGGGTGGCCAGTTGCAGCCTCAATTTTGCTTTCAAATTTCTTGAGGCTTTGATTGCCTTCATTGCCCCTTCCTGGATCAGAATGCCCGGATAAACCAAGGACCCACAGTCAATGGCTGGCAGAAGAGGCTGTCCTTCGCCATCAGCCCCCCAACCAACACGATCAATGAGGACCGTGAGATCAGCATAAGTGCCGGCGTCTTGCAAGGCTGCCATGATTTCCAGTTGCGAGGGCCTTTCCAGCATTGCCTTCATGTTTGCCCAGATGGGTTTGCTTTGGCAATTCTCCGGACAGTTGGTAAAGCCATCAGAAACTGGTGTGACAGCAAAATCGAACATGGTGAAATCGGTGAAATCATCAACCGCTATTTTCTCACCAAAATCCAATTCTACGGAACCGACATTACCCGCTTTGCATTTGCAATCATGCGACAAGAGCTTCAGCAGCAAGCAGACATTAAAACCATAGCTCCCGGACACACTGACTGCACGCAGAAAAAATTCTACCAATGAAACCGCTCGGGCGACAGAAACGTTTCTCCTTTAACTTTAGACAAAGCACTTTGTCAATTTCAATCTCTATAAGTATTTCATGGAAAAAACGGACCATTGCTTCGCTCAGGCCTACATCGAGAGTTTGTCCGCGGTTCACAAGTCGGTCCAGACGTGGCACCGCTGTGAAATCAACGCCTGGGAAATGATGTGCGCAGTGCATGTGTGGCTCCGCCAAATTTCGCTCCACTGCGGCTACTACTTGTTCATGCTCAAATCAGAGGAAAAGGTAGCAGAAACTAGGCAGAAAATGCTAATGAACGAACACATACAATTAAGATTGGCTGAAGGCCTACAAGACACACACATACAAGATCATGACCCACGACCATGCCCTTGCAGCACCCCGAGGAAGAACTAGACGACGGATGGCCCGAGAGCGTAGAGGAGCAGGTCTTCTCTTGTTAGTATGGAGACACCATATTAGAAACAATATATATATATTAAAGATGTCATATAGGCAGTCGAGAAGAGGAGTATTAAGACAAAATAGCAGAAGTGCAACACAATAGTTTGCATCGCAAACACACACAGACACTTTTACGCACAGACGCTTGTACACACAAAAGCTTTCACACACAGAAGCTTTTACAGACAGACACTTTCACACACAGACCCTTTTACGCGCAGACGCTTGTACACACAAAAGCTTTTACACACAGAAGCTTTTACACACAGACGCTTTTACACAGACACTTTTACACACAAAGCTTTTACACACACAGACGCTTTTACAGACAGAAGTTTTTACACACATACGCTTTTACACAGATGCTTTTACACACAGACACTTTTACACACAGACGCTTTTACACACAGACGCTTTGACACACAGACGCTTTTACACGGACACTTTTACACATAGACATGTTTACACACAGACACTTTTACACACAGACCTTTTTACAGACAGGAGCTGCTTTCAGACGCTTTTACACGGACACTTTTACACACAGACATGTTTACACACAGAGACTTTTACACACAAACACTTTTACACACAGACGCTTTTACACACAGACGCTTTTACACACAGACGCTTTGACACACAGACGCTTTTACACACAGACGCTTGTGCACACAGTCTTTTACACACAGACGCTTTTACACACAGACGCTTTTACTTTACACACAGACGCTTTTACACACAGACGCTTTTACTTTACACACAGACGCTTTTACACACAAACGCTTTTACACACGGAGGCTTTTACACACAAACACTTTTACACACAAACACTTTTACACACAGACGCTTTTACACACAGACGCTTTTACACACAGACGCTTTGACACACAGACGCTTTTACACACAGACGCTTGTGCACACAGTCTTTTACACACAGACGCTTTTACACACAGAAGCTTTTGCACACTAACACTTTTACACACAAATACTTTTACACACAAACACTTTTACACACAGAGACTCTTACACACAGACGCTTTTACACACAGACAAGTCCGGCACAAGTAAAATCGCAATTTTTTTCTCAGTTTTTGACGATCGACCCTCATTTCGTGCGAAAGGGTTGCTCGGGGACAAGTAAAATCGCAATTTTTCCTCAGTTTTTGCCGATCGACCCTCATTTCGTGCGAAAGGGTTGCTCGGGGACAAGTAAAATCGCAATTTTTCCTCAGTTTTTGACGATCGACCCTCATTTCGTGCGAAAGGGTTGACGTTTCGTGACTCGCCGCCGGCACCACCCTCGGCCTTAAGAGAGAAAGATAAAGAAGGCGAGAGAGAGAAAAGGGAAAGAGAAAGGAGAGAAGATGTGAAGATGAGCAGATGTGAGAGAAGATGTGAGAGAAGATGTGAAGATGAGCAGATGTGAGAGAAGATGTGAGAGAAGATGTGAGAGAAGATGTGAAGATGAGCAGATGTGAGAGAAGATGTGAGAGAAGATGTGAAGATGAACAGATGTGAAGATGAGCAGATGTGAGAGAAGATGTGAGAGAAGATGTGAAGATGAGCAGATGTGAGAGAAGATTTGAAGATGAGCAGATGTGAGAGAAGATGTGAGAGAAGATGTGAAGATGAGCAGATGTGAGAGAAGATGTGAAGATGAGCAGATGTGAGAGAAGATGTGAAGATGAGCAGATGTGAGAGAAGATGTTAGAGAAAATGTGAGAGAAGATGTGAGAGAAGATATGAAGAAAGATGAGCAGATGAGAGAAGATGTGAGAGAAGATGTGAGAGAAGATATGAAGATGAACAGATGTGAGAGAAGATGTGAGAGAAGATGTGAAGATGAGCAGATGTGAAGATGAGCAGATGTGAGAGAAGATGTGAGAGAAGATGTGAAGATGAGCAGATGTGAGAGAAGATGTGAAGAACAGCAGATGTGAAGGTGAGCAGATGTGAGAGAAGATATGAGAGAAGATGTGAAGATGAGCAGATGTGAAGAGAGGAGCAGATGTGAAGATGAGCAGATGTGAAGATGAGCAGATGTGAGAGAAGATGTGGACATGAGCAGATGTGAAGATGAGCAGATGTGAGAGAAGATGTGAGAGAAGATGTGAAGATGAGCAGGTGTGAGAGAAGATGTGAAGATGAGCAGATGTGAAGATGAGCAGATGTGAGAGAAGATGTGAGAGAAGATGTGAAGGTGAGCAGATGTGAAGATGAGCAGATGTGAGAGAAGATGTGAGAGAAGATGTGAAGATGAGCAGATGTGAGAGAAGATGTGAAGATCAGCAGATGTGAAGATGAGCAGATGTGAGAGAAGATGTCAGAGAAGATGTGAAGATGAGCAGATGTGAGAGAAGATGTGAAGATGAGAAGATGTTTTGCAGACCCCCACTATTGGAAGAACCCTGCGCTCAGACGCTCTCGGGAAAAAGACAAATCGATGCCGGGACTGGCCAAGCAGCTTGCTAAGTCAGAAACGGAGAGGAAGCCTCTCCGGCCGGAAGGCCTTGATTTGCTAAAGCATTTTGCTTTGAGCAGTCCCAAGTTGCAAGGAAATTTCACATCCGCCGGGGCCCGCGATGCCCTGCGAACAAGATTCCGACAAGGTGGCTGCGAAGCCCAGCAAGTGACTAAGGCGCTACAGGAACTTGAGGACAGTCCAGTCCAAATCATTCAGAAACTTGCATGGACACATCGGTTTCAAGGCCCCTGGAATCCACTTCATCAGGATCTGCTGATGTGTGATGGTTTAGACTGCTGGTTTTCCTATCTGTCTGTCTGTCTATCTATCTATCCTATCTATCCTATCTATCCTATCTATCCTATCTACCCTATCTTTCCTATCTACCCTATCTACCCTATCTATCCTATATATCATATCTATCCTATCTTTTCCTATCTTATCCTATCTATCCTATTCTATCCTATCTATCCTATGTATCCTATCCTATCCTATCCTGTCTATCCTATCTATCCTATCTATTCCATCCCATCTATCCTATCTTATCCTATCTTATCCTATCTTATCCTATTCTATCCTATCCTATCCTGTCTATCCTATCTATCCTATCTATTCCATCCCATCTATCCTATCTTATCCTATCTTATCCTATCTTATCCTATCTTATCCTATTCTATCCTATCCTATCCTATCTATCCTATCTATCCTATCTATCTTATCTATCCTATCTATCCCATCCCATCTATCCTATCTTATCCTATCCTATCCTATCCTATCTATCCTATCTATCCTATCTATCCTATCTGTCCTATCTATCCCATCCATCCCATCCCATCCCATCCCATCCCATCCCATCTCTCTCTCTCTCTATCATCTATCTATCTATCTATCTAGCTAGCTAGCTAGCTATCTATCTATCTATCTATCTATCTTATCGTTCTTACGTTTTTTTCTCGCTTGGCCCTTTGTATCCCTATGTTACTTCTCTGCTTTGATTATGTCTCATCTGATCGCATCTGATCTTATTTGATTTCATCTATCTATATCTATCTATCATTTTCTACCTACCTACCTACCTACCTACCTATCCATTCAGCTTTCTAATCCAATTTAATCTATATAATTAATCTAAATCTAATCTAATCTAGTCTAGTCTAATCCAATCTTCTAATCTACATCAAATCTGATCTTACCTAATATGATTTAATCTAATGTTTTTTTTTGGTCTAGTCATTTTCATTTATCAATCTCACTCCAGTCTAACCCAAACTAATCTAATCTAATCCAATTTAATTCCATTGATTCAATCTAGTCCAATTTTACATGTTTTTTTACTCTCAACCTATCTAGCCTTTGATCTATTCTTAGCTATTCGAATCATCTGTCATCATTTGTCTACCCCGTTCGCACACACACACACACTCACGCGCACGCAGACTTTGACCGACCAATTACCAATTGCTAAGCCTCACAAGTGCTCACCGGAAACTCTAGCTTTCTGACGGAAACCAAAGTTTCCTAGGGTTTGACTTTGGTCTTGCAACCCGTTGTGTCAAAAACGCCGAGAAGAGCTTGCAAATTTGGGTTTGCAAGAATTGGTTCGCATTAAAGGACGGTTGAACAGTTGAACCATTAAAGAAATGATTGGTGGGTATGCTGAACATATGGATTGGGTTCAGTATGGATTTGGAAAATCCGAGATTTCGGATGCTTTTGGCGCAAACCCGAGGTTTCTATGTCCAAAATTAATACGGATTGAGTTCAAACCTTGTTTTCCCATGTTTTCCCCACACCAGATCAACATGTTCACTGAATTTTGGTGTACAAGAGACAATCGTTGTTTTCGAATGTTTTCGATAGTCATTCACATGGTTTATGCAGTTTAGGCATTTTCTCATATCACGAAAGGTAGCTCCAGAGGGGCTACCTTGAGTTTTACTTTACGAAGTAAACGGGGCGGCCAGCCCCGTTACCTGATTCTTCAGGAGATTGCTAGTCATTTTAGTACCCCCCCCCCACCTCCCACGCACCCTAAGAGCAGACTCAAAACATTGTAATTTACAGTATTTTTGTTCTTTTCGGATCAAGAAACCACATTTTGCTACATGGTGAAACCTCCGTAAATACCAGTGTTTTTGCCAGGTGCTGGCCAAAAAACACTGCAAATACCGTGCTTTTTACTACCAGAGGCAAAAAACATCGTAAATACCGTGGTTTTGGGCTTCCGACCCGCCAAAAACATTGGTATTTACAGTGTTTTTTGCTCCGAGAGTTGCAAAAACACGCGAAAACACCACCGATTTGACGATTTTCGGCCACTACGGAACCGAGCAAAAACGCTGCAGGGGTAACACCAACACCAACAACAACAATACCAACAGCAACAGCAACAACAACAACAACCACGACGACGACGACAACAACAACAACAACAACAACAGCAACAACAACAACAACAACAACAACAACAACAACACACCACCACCACCACCACCACCGCACAACGCACAACGCACAACGCACAACGCACAACACACAACGCACAACGCACAACGCACAACGCACAACGCACAACGCACAACGCACAACGCACAACACACAACGCACAACGCACAACGCACAACGCACAACGCACAACGCACAACGCACAACGCACAACGCGCCCCGGCAAAAGCGCAACGCGCAACAGCGCAACGCGCAAACGCGCACGCGAAACGCCCCACACCGCACAAACGCACCAGGACACGCACAACTGCCACAACACACACAACGCACAACTGCACCAAAAACACTCACAACACACACAACACACACACAACACACACGCACACACAACACACACAACACACACAACACACACACACACCACACAACACACAACAACACACCACAACACACAACAACATACAACAACACACGCAACACACAACAACACAACAACAACACACAACAACACACAACAACACACAACAACACACACAACACACACAACAACACAAACAACACACAACAACACACCACAACACACCACAACACACCACAACACACACAACAACACACAACAACACACAACAACACACAACAACACACAACAACACACAACAACACACAACAACACACAACAACACACAACAACACACACCAACACACAACAACACACAACAACACACAACAACACACAACAACACACAACAACACACAACAACACAACAACACACAACACCACACAACAACACACAACAACACACAACAACACACAACAACACACAACAACACACAACAACACACAACAACACACAACCACACAACAACACACAACAACACACAACAACACACAACAACACACAACAACACACAACAACACACAACAACACACAACAACACACAACAACACACAACAACAACACAACAACAACACAACAACACACAACAACACACAACAACACCCAACAACACACAACAACACACAACAACACACAACAACACACAACAACACACAACAACACACAACAACACACAACAACACACAACAACACACAACAACACACCAACACAGACACACAACAACACACAACAACACACAACAACACACAACAACACACAACAACACACAACAACACACAACAACACACAACAACACACAACAACACACAACAACACACAACAACACACAACAACACACAACAACACACAACAACACACAACAACACACAACAACACACAACAACACACAACAACACACAACAACACACAACAACACACACAACCACAACAACACACAACAACACACAACAACACACAACAACACACAACAACACACAACAACACACAACAACACACAACACACACAACAACACACAACAACACCACAACAACACAACAACAACACAACAACACACAACAACACACAACAACACACAACAACACACAACAACACACAACAACACACAACAACACACAACAACACAACAACACACAAAAACACACAACAACACACAACAACACACAACAACACACAACAACACACAACAACACACAACAACACACAACAACACAACAACAACAACAACAACAACACGAACACAAACAATACCAACACCAACAACACGACCAACAACACCAACACCACCAACAAACCCAACCACACCAACAACACTAACAACACTAACAACACCAGAAACACTACCACCACCAACAACACCAACAACACCAATACCAACAACACCAACAACACCAACACCATCAGCAGCACCAACACCACCAACACCACAACCACCACCAACCCTAACCACATCGCCGAAGCCTTTCAATGGCTTTTACCAGACTCCCCTTCATATTTTTGGAAAGAAAATGGCCGCGTCGCTTTTACCAGAATCCACTTTATGTTTTTTTCCCTGCCCTTTCCCCTTCATTTTTTCTTCGGTTCCTTTCTTGCTTACAGGTGGATGTGGAAATCGGTTCTGTTTGCAATTGAACGGTTCATTTCCATGCGGGAAAGCAATTGGGGTAAGTCGGTACTTTTTGCGTTTAGCTTGGGTTTTGCATGACAGCTTGAAAGTGGCACGTTTAAATCTTGCAGCAACTTCCATGGGTATACCAATGGAAGCTATGGTATATAGATGCTGTCCTGACAGCCACTTCTGCCATGATTTTTCAAACTTATACTTATATTTGGTCATTCTTTCAAGGGGGCACATGCTGGTTGCTGCGTGTGGCTGCTGCTGGCTGCTGCTTGCTGCTGCTTGCTGCTGCTTCCTCCTGCTGCTGCTGCTTCCTCCTCCGCTGCTGTTGCCAGCTCAAGTGGAGCAATCTCGCTTCAGAAGCTCATGGCGAGCTCCGGGACACACCATATAGGCTGACCTCGTATTGACCTCGTATAGACCTCGTATCGGACCTCGTATAAATGCACCCTTGTCCACCACAGTTTTTGATATGCAACCCTTCTGTCCAAACCTGACCTGTGAATCCGGAGTTCCAGTATGAATTAAAACACACTGCGCATGAGATTCTGGCAGGAGTAGCCTTGAGAAACGGAGTTCACATGGGGATTTGCTCAGTTGGTTTGGGCAGGTCTGAAGCATCAGTAAAAGAGAAGTGGCTGTCCGCTGAGAAATACAATCGTGCTTTGCGATATGTGAAGAAGTGAAAAGGATCCTGTAGCAGATTCTGGGAAGTGTGGTGCAGATTTAGATATCCAGTAGTAGCGATTCCATGCAGGAAAGCCTATGAAGACATAGAATTAGCAGAATTATTCCATTAGCGTTCCATGCGGGAAAAGCCTATGAAGACATAGAATTAGCAGAAATATTCCATTAGCGTTCCAGTAGGAACTAACATCTCCAGTAACATTTTGATGTAGATATTTGGCCCCAGCGTTGAAGCGTTACCAATAGGATTTCTGATCCAGGTCCCGCCTTTTCTGACTTCGACGTAACCGGTGCGTTCCATGCAGTTGTACCAACCCCGCGGTGTTTAGTCCTGACTTCCACGGGTGCCTGTACCTACCTTTCGTGTTCCCCCTCTCAAGTTTTTTTCTGATTGATGTCAACTCATTTGTTTTGAATGGCAATGTTTGACTCAAGACCCATCAAGACCCGAGATTCTAGATTTTGGCATGCCCGGACCAACTTTGTGTACACACCATTTAATTTCAAAGGCCCGGCATATATCCTCAAATCACAGGTAATTATTCGAAATATGCCCAGGAGTGGAGTTTGTTGCTGCCATTTGTGGCGTGACGAGGACTGCGAGCAGATGAAAAACAGGAAAAAACAAGTTACTGAGTTTTCAACCATGCAGAACCCGTCCGTGGACATAGTCTGCATTTTCATCGAAGGCATTTTTGCCGCATCCTATGGATGGTTTTATACCTGCTTGTTTTGTCGGACCCAAAACTGAAAGGGTTTGATGTTAGTTCGACGCATAAATGATCCTAAATGACTTGATTTTTCAAGATGGAACTTTCAAGGTCACCAAATCCACGATTTCAAAACTCACACGTTAGGGGCTTAGGCTTAATTATACGTATAGGTTTCTCATGGTTTCTCTAAATCGGAGAGGCCTAACACCCACCAACGTGTGCCATTCAATTCTAGAAGACCAAAACATGGAGTTGGTGGAACGTAGTTGGACTGGCCACTCTTGATTCTCTTCCATGGGGCGAGGCATTTTTTTCTACATATAGCTGCCATGGTGAAGTCATTATGCACAAGAATGGGAGTCTCCAGAAACGCCCCGTTCTTCGGGGCTAAGAATCTAAGAGGGTGTAAAGCATTTCCAGCAGATGTGTGCCGACAGGAGTCTGTGTCCAACCTGCCAGATTTGCCTCGCGAACCACCAGAGGCCAAACCAGAGTTTGAAGAGTGACTTGGCACATTTTGACACTGCATTTTATGGATTTTTATGGCAATCGGATCGGCGAAGATGGGCAAAGGCAGTTCTTGCAGTTCTTGGCGATGGCCAGGATCCGGCGTGTTCGAGTGAGCTGGATCCAACCAAGGCCAGGACCATATCAAAAAGAGTCACTGGAAGTTGTGGAACCACATCCTGAGCCAGAAGAATTTGGCTGCTTGGCAAAAAGGTTGCCATCGACCATCGACTGCTAATTTCAAGCCCTCATTCATCCCTGTATTTGCTCGCACCACTACACGTTGTTCATCGTTGTTCAATGTAACATCAAACGAAGTGGTATGATGTGGTGCATGGGTGAACCACCCTTTTGAACCTTGACGCCGGTTCACCCCATTTTCTCACGAGGAAGTTGGCATGTGTGCAAGTCATCATTTTTTCACGAACGTTTGTTGGTGGAGCAGACGAGATTATAATTTTCCCAACAGCATCGCTTGTTGGGTTTCAATCTCTGGGTCTGCGACCATGATAAAACCGGAATGGAAACCCTAGAAACCTTAAACCCTGGAACCTCTACTGGTATTGGGTTGCAAAACTGGGTTGACTTTGTTGAGTGATGTTGTGGCTCGACCCATTTCACCTAAAATCAGGATTCACCATATTTCACTTGAAATTGTGACCGCTCATAGCAGGGTTGTCATCCATTCTCAGCATTTGGCCAAGCATTTCTTCTTACCGCTTGAGTTCGGACATGTTTGGACTCAGGTTCAGAGTCGCCAGTGCCAGGACTTCTTCCATCACCCTTTGTTCGAGCAAGCCTTTGAGACTCAATTCAGAGTTTCAAAGATGATCAAAGATTTAGCCTGCGAGGCCTAGAGAGACTTTTGAAGGTACTCTGCGTACGAGGATGATAGTGGTAGTGCCACTAAGACAACCCTCAGATATCCCAGCAAAGTTAGGTTCATGATGTGGGTGTCTCCACGATTTAAGGTTCCCAGGAAGAGGCTGATGCTCTTGGTGGTTTGCTAAAGCAACGCCGGCCTATTATTGCGGCTAAGTCGTTGATGTTCTACCGTTTGGCCACATGGATAGCCAAAGCGTTGCAGCATGCAGAACACAATGCCATCAAGTGGCGCTGGTACACCACGGGCCCATGGTTGTGCAACCGTTGTGCAATGTTTTCCTGCTGTGGCAGACTGTTGTTTGCCAGGGATTTGAAGCAGCTGCCGCGAAGTCACACTATCTTTCGGCGCAGTACTTTGTTCGATCTCCAGGCCATTGCTGTTCCCTTTGGGATGTGACAGATTGACGGATAATTTTGAGGGATACTGATGGAGACAAACTGCTGTGCTTCTTCTGGCTCTGCCATGTGCTGACATCTTGATGGTAGATGCCCTTCAACGCGATTTTTTTCAGAATTACTTTCCTTTCTCATCTTTCTCCTTTCTCATCCTTTTCTAGATTTTTCTAGGATCCTAGGATTCAAGTCATGTGGAAGCTGGCGCGTGCCGCTTACCAAGTTTTGATTTTCTCGTGTGTGTGTGCGTGTGCGTTTGTGTGCTGGAAGTAGCGCGATGTGGCACAAAGATGCAAAAAGATGCAAAAAGCATAAAACCAGAATAGCACCAGCCATCACACAACAATATGTTATAATTTAAGATGTGTATAAGTATACTGTATAAGAGTTAAGTGTTTTGATGATTTTTGATAGTTTGATGCTTTGCAGGCTGCAGCCGTGGGACATTCCCATGGTCCAAGCCTCCAATGCCTGCATGATGTGCTTCAAATTCTTTGGCCTAAAGTCAACGTTGCTGTAGAGAGGCAGGTGGGGCCATTGTGAAACCATTGTGAAACCATGGTGAAACCATTGTGAAACCATGGTGAAACCATAGTGAAACCATTGTGAAACCATTGTGAAACCATGGTGAAACCATAGTGAAACCATTGTGAAACCATTGTGAAACCATTGTGAAACCATTGTGAAACCATTGTGAAACCATGGTGAAACCATAGTGAAACCATAGTGAAACCATTGTGAAACCATTGTGAAACCATTGTGAAACCATTGTGAAACCATAGTGAAACCATTGTGAAACCATTGTGAAACCATGGTGAAACCATGGTGAAACCATAGTGAAACCATTGTGAAACCATTGTGAAACCATTGTGAAACCATAGTGAAACCATTGTGAAACCATTGTGAAACCATTGTGAAACCATTGTGAAACCATAGTGAAACCATTGTGAAACCATAGTGAAACCATTGTGAAACCATTGTGAAGCCATTGTGAAAACCAATTGTGAAACCATTGTGAAACCATTGTGAAACCATTGTGAAACCATTGTGAAACCATTGTGAAACCATTGTGAAACCATTGTGAAACCATTGTGAAACCATAGTGAAACCATTGTGAAACCATTGTGAAGCCATTGTGAAGCCATTGTGAAACCATAGTGAAGCCATTGTGAAACCATTGTGAAACCATTGTGAAACCATTGTGAAACCATTGTGAAACCATTGTGAAACCATAGTGAAACCATTGTGAAACCATTGTGAAACCATTGTGAAACCA